TGAACTGTAGATTTGTGGAGGGAGGAGTTAGGGAGACAAGAAAGGACTGCTTGGAGGACACCTTGACCTGTCTAGAACATAGATGGGAAACCAACGCCCACCATCATTTTTACTTCTCTCCCACCCATCCCAAACATACCTGTATGCGCCAGGGCAGTTGAAAACAAGCAGCACACACTGATTGCAAACCAGGGAAATACACTGAAGTATTTGATTGCTGGGGCTCTGAGGAGTTTCAATAGTAGCATTTGATTCGGCGTAGACCGTTGAACAACAAGAAAGTGGATGTGCCAAAAAAATTCTCTTCTAACGGGTCTATTTCCTCAAACTCCCGAGACATATTCCTTGGAAGGAGCAGGAGAAGACTAAAGCCACACACTTGCCTGACTTCACCTTTACGAATCCGAATGCTTCACCTTTACAAATTCGAAAGGGGGGGGGGGGGCGGAATGGCAGAGTTCTTCCTTCAACAGGTTTCTCTCTTTCTCGTGTGAAACTACACTGGCATCACTAGGGAAGGTCCCTTTCTGGACGTTGGTCTCACGAAAAAGCCCTTTCTCCACCGTCTCTCTCAAAGGCGAATTTGTGATCAGGGCAGCAGAAACCTGTCCCCTCGAAGAGACTTCCCTGGGGTTACAGGGGCCAGGAGAAGAACTAGACTTAAGAACCGCAAGTTACAGGAACAAAGCGGCTGAAAATAACGCTCCAAACATGAATTCGCCTGGCTAAAAAAGGCTGGATTGTACCCACGGCTGGTAATGGGCCAAATTCCGCCTGGGGCTGTTAGTTGGCGTAGTCCTAGAAAACAAGGGTATCTAAAGTATTGGGGGTTTCTCTTAATGCTGGTGAAAGGGAACCGCAATGAAAAGCTTGCCTAAGGCCCGCCCGCGGAAAAGTAGCCTAGAAGCCTATGACAGTGAGTGTGGTTTCGGAGAGCCGCGTTTAGTGGTCTTGTCTTTCACGTTAGGGGACGTTTCCAGCAAACCATTCGCAGCGTCTACACGGCTCTGCGGTCTTTAAGCTCGTGTTAGGCAAATTTGGACACTCAGGGCGTGGGGTGGGGTGGGGGAGATCCCGAGGGAAGCTCTCTGGCTCTGCTCCTTTACTATAATCATGCCCACGTCCGAGCCATGGTGACAGGAAATCGGAGCGCAGAGCCCGGGTTCCTGGAGACTGGAGGGACATTGATCGATCAGTATATTTGGCAGTCCTATCAAGTTACAGCCCCTCTCAACGATTCCTGTTGTGCTCGCTCAGCTCCCACCCACCAGCCAATTGCTGTTAACCCTTGAACTGAGACGGGTTCGAGATAACCTTCTCCTGTAGTCTAACAGGACAGGGTGTCATTTCCGAGAGGTATTGATTTGTATGGAAGCCATATAGAAAGGCTTTGACGCTTTCTATCCCAAGAGCACTGGGTGTGTCCGGTGACATACAAACGCGCGCTGGTTCCCACTATTCTGCTCTGGGCAGAGATAATATAATTCACAGGGCCTTCCGCATTGTATACACTGCACCCTGAAGCCTGTGTCACAGGCACACTATAACAGGGAGTGTCGGTGTTGGTATTTTCTTAAACAGGTCAAATGCGATCGTTCGCTGCTATTGATCCCTTCCAAGGCGGGGAGTGGTTTGCGGGACGCGAGGAAGGGCGAGCATTTCACGTGGAAAGAACAACTCTGCAAGGAGCCCTGCAAAGAGAACCTTGCAGCCAGTGGCAGAGGCTGGTGTTGTCCGTTACAGGACTGGGGAGCAGCCTGGCTGGAGCGAGGGAAGCGAGAGTCAAAGCGGAGAGCCCAAGAGGCCAGCGGTACAAAACGTTCAGCATTCCTCGGGCAGCCTGAAACTGACCGACGCGTTTCTAACACCAGAGTGTCCAGGGCGAAGAGTTTATCTAAGACCGAACCGGGCTTAGCCCGCCTTCCGCTGCACGTACAAAGGTCCCTTTCCTAGTCATTATGTTGCACGGGAAATAAATAAATATAACATAAAGTTTGCTATTGATTGGCGCGATTTGCTTTCACCCAGCAATGCTCCCCTCCCATTGATCCTCGTTCACGTTGCACAGCAGTTAAATGTAGAATGACGGAATAGGGAACTTCATTAATCTAATGAAATCAGCAATGATGTACAGTATTTCAGTGTTATTAAAACAAAGCCACCTAATTGATTTCGTCTCCCCTCAACTCTGTGGATGCCAGCCATGATCAAATCAGATTCCAGGGTGATAAAAATATAAAATCCCAGCCAACCAACCCCCTCCTCCATCCAAACCACATACGAATACCGAAGAGGATGGAAATTGTTGCCCAGTTAACTTTTAGGGCTGAATGGATTTTATGTTTCGGGGTAGACACAAAACCATCTACTAAAGTCAGACATGCTTTTTTCGGAGCTAATGGAATGAGTCATCGACAGAGTGGATTATTTAAAGCACCATGCGAGTCTATAATCATGTATATATACAAGTTATTATATATTGGAAATCTGTCTCCTCTACTCCCTAGTCTCATATAATCCTCTGACCAGGAACTAGGCAGTCCCCATGTGGAAATTTAGAAAAGAAAAATCAGTAATGCT